TGATTACTGTAGGGTTTTTTTTTTTTTTTGCGGGGGGTTCCAGGGATTGAATTCAAGGGCACTTGGCCACTAAGCCACATCCCCAGCCCTATTTCCTATTTTATTTAGAGACAGGGTCTCACTGAGTTGGTTAGCACCTCAATGTTGCTGAGGCTGGCTTTGAACTTGTGATCCTCCTAAGCAGCTGGGCTTCAGGTGTGTGCCTCCATGCCCAACTGGCCCTAAGAAACTTTGTGAGACCCCATCTCAATATAAAAATATATAAAGGGCTGAGGACGTGGCTCAGTGGTAAAGCACCTCTGGGTTCAATCCTTAGTACAAAAAAAAAAGAAAAAACAAAAAAGCATTCTGTTGTTAGCTTGGTATATTAGTATTTTTTTCTTAAACAGATATAAAACCTTCCCGTGTATTTTTCTGTATCAATTAAGATAACCTTTTTTTCTCCTTCAGTATCATATAATTTTTTTCCTTTAAAACCACAGATTTTCTTTCTTCTTTTTTTTTTTGAATTTTTAATATTTATTTTTAGTTTTTTGGCGGACACAACATCTGTGTTTGTATGTGGTGCTGAGGATCGAACCCGGGCCGCATGCATGCTAGGCGATTGCGCTACCGCTTGAGCCACATACCCAAACCTCAACATGTTTTAAGACAAAAAAAATTAAAGTAATTAACTCACATGATATTAACAATACTGCTAAGACCTTGTCTTTTAGGTGAAATCTGACTACCTCATGATTCATTTGTGGCCTACATTTGTTCACTGCAAGTATCTCAAGTGCCAGGAATGGTGCCTGGCACATAAACACACTCAATGTTTTAAAAATTATTATAAATATTAGAGATAGCACATAGCAAAAAAATGAGTATGCTTCTAATGAATATTTCCCATTTACTGTTTTTTTCCCATTTACTTTTTTTTTTCTTGTGAAAAGGACAAATATTGTCCCATATGGTGTTTTTTTTTTTTTTATTGTTGGTCGTTCAAAACATTACACAGTTCTTAATACATCAAATTTCACAGTTTGATTCAAGCGGGTTATGAACTCCCAACTTTACCCCGTATACA